TGGTCTCACACTACAGCAGCTGATTGGTGTCATTATTGGTGCTATTGTTCTTCTTCTGCTGCTTGTTGGTGTGCTTGTGTTGCTGCTGTGTCGCCGACGCAGTGCGCGTGACAATGGGAATGCGCCTAAGGAGCCGACGGACCCCGTGACGCTTGTGTTCACTGACATTGAGAGCAGCACGGCGCTGTGGGCTGCGTGTCCGGAGATCATGCCCGACGCTGTGGCGACGCACCACCGCCTGATCCGTGCGCTGATTGCGAAGTACTGCTGCTACGAGGTGAAGACGATCGGCGACTCGTTCATGATTGCGTGCAGGAGTGTGTTTGCGGCTGTGCAGCTTGCGCGTGAGCTGCAGCAGTCGTTCCTGCAGCATGACTGGGGGACGAGTGCCATTGACGACGCGTACCACGTGTTCGAGGAGGGGAGGGCTGCGGAGGACGATGAGTACGTGCCGCCGACTGCACGCCTCGACGCTGCTGTGTACCGGCAGTACTGGAACGGCCTGCGTGTGCGTGTTGGTGTGCACACCGGGCTTGCTGACATCCGGCACGACGAGGTGACGAAGGGGTACGACTACTACGGCAGCACGTCGAACACGGCTGCGCGCACGGAGAGCGTTGCGAACGGCGGGCAGGTGCTGCTGACGCGGGCGGCGTACATGGCGCTGAGCACGGCTGAGCGTGAGCAGCTGGACGTGACTGCGCTGGGCGCCGTGGCGCTGCGTGGCGTGCCGAAGCCTGTGGAGATGTACCAGCTGGACGCAGTGCCCGGCCGCACCTTCGCTGCCCTGCGGCTTGATAGGGAGTTTTTAGAGCTTGACGAAACTGAGAGTGATGGTCACTCAGTGTCATCAAGTTCAAAGAATGATACTTTGAGTTCTGGTCAGAATCCTCTTATACTTGTGCTAACGGATTTGTTTGCACCCTTTCCATTGCAGCAACGCCTTAAAGTTCTTCAAACTGTTGCTCAGCGTTGGAATATTGTCGTTCCTTCGAGTAAATCACAGTCTCCTACTGATGCTTGTCAGGAGACAATTATCCGTCTGGCTTTGAAGCTGAGCCGTGTTACTTCTCATAAATTTGATTTGATGCGAGGGGGATCTGATGTTGGTGTGGCAACTATACTCAGCAGTTCTGATTCAAATACGAACAATTGGCGTGCTGTTGGATCTGTAACCTTTGATGAAACTGTGGATCTTACTAGACGTGGGCGTTCAGTTGCTCGATCAGTGACTGAAGGCGGTTCTATTAGTTGTACAACTATTGAGTCGCGACCTCCTCCGGGACTCTTTTCGTCGTAAATATTTAGTGCGGTTTTTGAAGTTTTGAAGGGTGTTAAAATAAGTATATAAAGGAAGTTTAATTTGCTTCTATTTTTCTATATGAACCCTTACTACAGCAGGTATGTGAAAGAGTTGAACGTCAGTCCTGGATGCCGGCAGGTGGGACTGTCGTTGCTCTGTGTGTTTTCTAGCTTCCCGTTTGTTTTCTCCCAGTGAAATCGGTTTTGGTTCCCACAATGCGCCCCCC